GAACGAAATATTATTTCGAGGGAACGAAATAATATTTCGAGGGAAATTTCGTTCCCTCGAAATAGTTTAATATTTTCTTTAACCATGTCCCTTTAGGAGCTCCGTACTAACGTCATTTCTGGATTTAACCTTTAACGTGCGATGGACGATTCGGATGGGTAAAAAATGCACGATGGAACAAAATTTCAACGGTGAGCGATGACATAAGCAAAATAACTAACGCCACGTGGAACGAAAGCAACCAATCAAATGACTGGAATCTATTTAGAAGTGTTATAATAGCCGATACTAATAATGATGCTGATGATGAAGATATGATAGATAATGATTTTGAAAATGAAGATAAAGATGAAGTTGAAGGATATGAAATTGATGATGATGTGAGGAGTGATGATGAGGATGAAGATTAGGAATATGAAAATGATGATGATGTAAGGAGCAGTATCGGCACCAGTGGGAGAACAGCAGGGGCTTAAGCCCCGCACCGGACAGGTCAAGCCCTCCCATTGGACAGAGGTCGTTGGGCAGTTGGACTAAAAAATAAATAAAAATAGGCCCACGCAAGTCAGCACATGTCTGTCACAATCAGAGAGTGTCATTTCTGGTCATCCAGAGGTTCCTATTCTTTAAAAAATCTCATTTGGGAAGGGGAACACACTCGCCCTTCCCCCAGCTCGGGCCTACGAGCCCAAGTCCCCCTGTCGGACAGCTCAGCCCCCCACCCCGAAAATATATCCTAGAGCCGCCACTGGTAAGGAGGAGTGATGAGGATGATGATGACAACGATGGTGAGGATGATTATGATGAGGTTGATGATTATGATGAGGAGGAGGAGACGGAGGATAATACAACAATAATGATGGGGATGGTGGTGATGATGATGATAATCATGATGATGGTTATCATGATGATATGATAGTGAATTATTAAGATGATTATGATCGTGATTATGATAATAGTGGGGAAATGGTTATGCTTATGATGGTGGAAATATAAAACGAGAGAAAATCAAGTAAGAAGCAAATTGCGATACCAAGCTAATGAGGCATATAAGAGCCTAATTATTTCAATGACTTTCAAGCTTTTTTTAAATCAAACTAGACTGATTAATTAATTTTAATTATAAACTTTAGGGAATATTGAGTAAAATGTGTCAGACACCTTGGTATGGCGAATTAAAATTTGCTGTCTGCCATGCTGGAATTTGACATCAAAATGTATGGAAATTGTTCACATTAAAATATGACCTTAAATGAATTCAAGGCAAAACGATACAATTACTGTATTACCAATTATGTCTGAATCTTATATCTATCAGGCCCGTGTCCAGGTGGGGGGGGGGGGTTATGGTTCGGGAGAATCCTCTTTTCTAGCAAACCCCACTCTTTTCTGGCGAAACCCCCTCTTTAAATTTCCCAAATAAGTCCTCCAACCCAACTAATGCACTGCAGACCCACCCAGACACAGACATTTTCAAACATATCTGCTTTTATAGCATTATTTAGACCCATAAAGCACAAAAATCCTCTTGCTTTGGGGGTTTCGCTGACCCCACCGGGGCTTCGACTGTGGACCTGACGCCCAGAAAAACCACCCCCCCCCCCCATTGGAAGAAGCTGGCTACGGGTCTGTTTATCATCATATTATAATAGGCAATAAGCATTTCATTATTAAAACCAAATATAGTGGTCTTAACAACTGTTGCTATATTTATTTCAATTAAATATTAAGAGCTGGAACTTTTTAAGTTAATGTATAGTAAGCTTGAATATAAAGCTCGGGACACAATGCATCGACGACAGTCGTTCGGGCGACTAATCAATTTCCATTGTATAGGCCTATATCATGTTTGCATTATTTAGTGGTCTATAATAGACTATTAAGTATGTTTACGGCTTGAAGAAATCATTATGTGGGCATATTAATATACTTCAACATTCGTTAGGTTGGTATTAAGTGCTTCTTAGAATTGGAACATTGTTTTCATTGCTGATGATGACGTAATTAATGTCGAAATATTGAATCCCAACACGATGGCGTGCATTTCGATACTTGGAGTATGTTTTATTTTATTTTATTTTATTCCTTTCAGCCAGAACCACAAAAAAAAGAAAAAAAAAGAAAGAGGTACCGGTATTATACTATCTTGTTTTGGATGTGTTCATACATGTTTAGGTCAATAAATGTTCATAATCTTCTGTTGTGCGTTTATCACCTAATAGCGGGCATTTATATAACTTATTATAATAATGCTATTTAAGTAGGGGTCTTAGCTATAGGAATACTACAACTGAAGGTGTAGCTTTGGCATGGCACAGTGGGCTTTTTTA